TTGGATCCAAATTACTGGTAATGACCTCGATTTGCACGCGATACATCAACGTTAGTCAGACCAAAAGTCACGGACATGCTTTAGTGAAAGCCTCATACCTGATATTGCTTAATACTAAATTCAACGTCACTGTACATCTCACATCAGCACTGCACATCCACTCTCGTCACAGCACCAATTCAGATTGGATAATAACTGTTCGCGTTATTAAGGGTAAGTTATCGTTTAAAAGTATGCAGAGATTACAGGGATCAAAAACTCGTTCTCCAACAGAGTCATGTCACACGGTTCGGCGTGAAGGCTAAAGCCGCGAGTTGTCATTCTTGATTGACACGCGACGCGCAATTTGATAGACAATTTTGATTGACACGCAATGTACGTCCGTACCCTAGAGGACTGGACGAGCCTGACTACAGGCCTTTTAACTATGATTATTAACACGTGATCTACTGCACATGTATAATACTAGCTTCCAGTAACATAAACGAGATGTTGGTAAATGGAGATGAAATAACATTGTGACATAAAGGTACATTTTTATGCATGAAATACAAACTCAAAAATCTCAACGAAATTGCACTAATGGAATTGGCAGTCATACTGTGCAAAGGGAATAAGTCAGCCAGCAAGAAAAATGTAGAAGACGGCCAAAAAATTCAATAAAAGCTCTCACGATAGATGCCACTCTTCTGGTAGATGCCAGACGCACAATTTATGAATTCCACATCACAGAGCATCGCACGTGATGAGGAATCTGACTCTTCGTAATAAGCCGTACAAATTAATTAAGTTAATATTAGTCTCGATATTCGTAATGATTGAGATATTTTACTTGTACTTAAATTGAATTGACGTCGATTGAATGTCTCAGCGGAATTTTCATGGAAAAAAATAGTTGTGAAAATTACGATTGGGCTCATGAGTGAATTGAAATGAATATCTGATAATTACTTTAAGCTAATAAATAACTTCCGTTAGACAGTTCCACTATTTTGCAATTCACGAATTAAAATAAATTTGTGCAAACTTTTTGTCGTTAATTTTGTTGTTGTCTGCCAGAAAATTTCGTGAATTTTAGAAAGTCGCACGATATGTGAGTTACACGTGTGTTCGAAAATTCTCATAGCAAGGAGGAAAACAGCCGAACTGTAATTGCGAGAAATAATACTTGCTTAACTGCGCGAAATAATCGAAATAATCATTCTTTATTCGTTGGTGACATCAAATTACTTTTATTACAAAATTTCTCTTATGACTTCGGAAAATATTTATTCAAATTATTATATGATTATTTTGAAGCAAGGCTACCCGTAAGTTACATAGAGCAACTGGCAGTTGTTAGAAGCGTCGTATAGCTTTTGGCTCCATGTAACATTTAACTGCAATAATGCCGCGACTCGATTTTCTACGTGAAACAAATTTCATGTTGATTTGTGAGCCAATTCCAAGACATTCTGAAATTCTAGTTTACAATACAAAATACATCCCCATTGCTTAGTAAGGAATTGCCGACCGCATTTAAACTTAATAGCTGTTCATTGACACATTTATCAGTGATAGATCGACCTAAATACGTGCCTTCTGTCGCCCGGTATAAATAATCCACAAGGGCTAGTCTCGTTGGAGACTTCCTTCCTCACACATTGGCGAGTTGCAATTTTTCCAAAGCAGTTATAAGAGATTGGGTTTGATAACAATAATTGCAACGCCACAACATTTAATGTGCCTACGATTATAAAAAAAATTAAACAAGATTGAATTATTTAATAAAAAACTATATCGTAGTATGCAAATTTTCACCGCTCTACGATATAAAAATTGATATTAGCTGCATGAACATGTTCATGCTGCAATGTCGTTCGTCTTTCCTATGTTCGAATCATCAATGTTCAAAGTAAACCCGAAACTGGTTGTCAGAAGTTAAAGCATTCAATATGTTTATTTAAACCGATATTCATTTGTTCATGGAGTGAACGAATTTTTTTTATGCAATCATGCAACTCGTGTTGGCTATTTGTGGTTCCCTGCATATCGGAGCTAGTGATGTGAAACAAGGGTAGAAACAATGATGCTTTAAGCCGACTTGCAAATTTCTATATAAATTCAAATATCATTCGAATCGAATCTATAAGACTACGAGTACGGTTTAAACGTCAAACTTCAGTTACGTTTTGACTCGATCTTTTATTAGATTTGCACACAGTGATATTTTCTAGGAATTAAAACTATCTCCGTAAAGTTATAAGTACTAGTTTATCCTAAACATTGCGAGGACATTGATAAAATATCTGTCTTGATTAATTCTGATCTGTGGATGTTAGCCTATAATAGAAAAGAATTTTTGTCAAAATTCGAAAAACATGAATATTAACAGATCCATGAGCCATCATTGTAACTGAATACAGATTCAAAAGCAGGAACTTGATCGCGTACTATCAGAGCGTCGTTCTGTCACATAGCCTTATAAATATCTTCCCGAAGGTCAATTGAGCAAGAAGTAGAAGAATACTACATTAAGTTAGCTTCGCCTATATAGGCAAGAAATTTAGAAAATTAAATTTTCTTAGGGTATTTAGCAATACAAATGCTAGTGCGTGGGTGCTTAGTAGGTAACTTCTTACACATCCGCTAAATTAGCTATTCAAATATTTTAATACCACATTATAATTAAAGTGAGATATAAATTAATAATATTATCAATACTGATCAACTTTGCCTTCCGGCCATTGAACTAATCTTAATTTCATGCGAAATTTAATAAATGAAATTTCAATCGTAGCGATCACCGTTGTAATTGCAGCTACAAAGGCGATAATCGAGTCATAATTAAATTAATTCACCAAAAATCATGAACTGTGTGAAACAGTCTTTCAAACAGTGCACCAACCTGTATTTAGTTGAGTCAAACAATTCCCGGCAGGTTATTTGTGAAGTTAAACAATGAACTGCAGGTTATTTGTGAAGTAAAACAATGCTCTGTATGTTATTTGTGTAGTCAAGCAATGCCCAGCGGGTTATTTTTGAAGTCAAACAATGCTTCAAACAATTTGAAGTCAAACAATACCAAACAATTTTGAAGTCAAACATTTGTGAAGGTATGAAATGCACTGCAGGTTATTCGTGCTGTTAAACATTGAACTGCAGGTTATTCGTAAAGTTAAACAATGCACTGGAGGGGATTCATGAAGTTAAACATGAACTGCTGGTTATTTGTAACAATGCACTGCAAGTTATTCGTGAAGGTAAACCATGCACCGCAAGTCATGTGTATAGGTAAACATGAACTGGAGATAAACTGCGAAGTTTAAACAAAACACGTCTGGTAATTTGTGCAATTTAACACGTTGACTCCTAAGTGTCAACGTGTTAAATGTTAATATGCGCACACAAAATTTATTTCTCCAGGACGTAGTGGTACATAATTCAGGGTTGCCAGACGGCCTAAAAAACGACCAACTCCGCGAATAAAAAAGGCCAAAAAAGGCGTTTAACTCAATATATACTGGTATATCTGTAAGCTCCGGTGTAAAATTTCAATTTCGTGTTTTTCGCGCATTTTCTCATTTATGGAAAAAATGCACTATTGTGCTCGCCATGTCCGTCTGTCCGTTCGTCTGTCTGTCCGTCTGACTGTCCGTCCGTGACTTCACGATTTCGTCGACGATAAAATGCGCTCTCTCTCACTCACTGCACTGAGTACTGGGTTATATTTTTTTATTTAATTAGGAAGCACCCCTATCGTGAATTTTAACCGGCCAGCGCAATTAAAAAAAGTAAATCGCGAAATTACTCCGGAAAAAAGACCGTCTGGCAACCTTGTTTCATAATAGTACAAAAAATAAAATAAAGGTAAAAGATGAAGCAATCGGAGTCAACTTGTTGAACATGCACTATTGCTTATTTGTGCAGTTCGAACAGGAAAAAATATAACTCAGTACTCACTGCAGTGAGTGACAGAGAGCGCATTTTCTCGTCGATGAAAACGTGAGGTCACGGACGGACAGACAGACGGGCAGACAGACAGACAGACGGACATGGCGAGCAAAATAGGGCATTTTTTCCATAAATGAGAAAATGTGTTAAAAATGTTTTTACATTAAACAATGCACTACTGGTAATTTTTTTCAGTTCAAACATTGGTACAGAATGGCCGACTTTTATGAATGCATTTAAAGTAATTTATTCTTTTTGAACGATGGTACAGAATAGGTAACTGACTTTTTCGACTAAAGGCCATTCTCTACTGATAATAAGTTCAGTTGGGAAACCAAAACGAATTGTTGACTTTGACCAATATATTACTTGTACTATATTTTATGCTGTTCGCACACTGTTGCCAATTTAGATAGTTCGAACATAAGAGGAACTCCCGTAAATTTTTTTGTTTTGAATATTTAAACAGAATTTTTGACCGTATAGTCAATACATTACTGTTTATTTGCACAGTTCGAACATTGTAACAGAATTTTTGACTTGGTTCTTATTTTAACGCTGAACTTGTTCAAATCCAAGCCATCGGGTTTGTGGGCGGAATGTGTTTATACTGTCATTTTGGCTATTTCATCGTCAAAGAAATTAAGTTGTTAATTAGAAGATCATTCATGTACGATGCTCAATTGTTCTCGACGTTCTCTGAATTTTCTAAAATATATAACTCAGTACTCACTGCAGTGAGTGACAGAGAGCGCTTCTCGTCGACGAAAAGGTCACGGATGGACGGAAAGCCGGACGGACAGACGGACAGACAGACAGACAGAAAGACAGACAGACCGACGGACATGGCGAGCACAAAAGTGCATTTTTTCCATAAATGAGAAAATGCGCTAAAAACAATACCATGTAAGTGGGTTAATATATTACGTTTACAAGGATTTTCATGTGACTGTTATTGCGTTCGAAATTCACAGAGCGTGATAACTTTACCTGTTGTAGTATATGTGTGTGCGGAATGTCGAGCAATTAGTTTCACCAGTACAGTAAGTACAGAGGAGAACTCAAGCTCACTCTTTGTACTGGCAAACGAAAAAGAATCTGTCCGTGCACTCTTTGTTCCAGGGCGCGTATATATAGTTAGGAGGTTCATAATGGAGTCTGGCGCAGGCGTATTTATCTTCGGTTCCCAAATCTTCTCCAGGCCTTCCCGACTGGAAGAAATCCTTTCCGTCGTTCCAGTACCACTTCTCCGCATTTAGAGTTAAATCGACCCACCAGTCGTTTTTTCCAGACTTGTCTGTAAATTAAGAAACATGAACCCAATAACTCATATTCATATATTTAATGGAAACGTGCGCACATTGAGCATATAATTTCATTAAATTCGGGATAGAATACCGGATTTGATTTCGTTCAATTCGATTTAAATTCAATCAATTATATAAGACGAATACATTGGTGAATGTACGAGTGATGTGGAAAAAATTCAAAACTCCATACGAGCTTCAAAATAATCCATTCGTAAGATAATGCATCCGTCAAGCCTAGAACCATCCGTCGCCATTTCATTTATAAGAGTGCACATTTTTTTCAATAATGCCTTAGCATTCAAATGAGAGGCCAAGACAAGTACAACCCCTTTTAACTTTGCCCCATACACACCCATGTCCTCAGAGCAGTCATCGATTCATGACCTTCAAAGAAAACAAATTGCGGAATCCCGACGGATTTGAGTTCAGCTCGTAAACTGAGTGAGTGACTTCGTGAGAAGGACAAATGATCGACTGAGTGAATTAATTGGCTAACGACGAATGTATAGCGATACCTACAAAGAACTGAGTATTTGAATGACAATAATCTAGTAAATTGCACTGTTTACTAGTCTGCAAGACTACAGTCTACTCGCTCCTTGCAGAATGAACCTAAAAATGTACATTTTATCCTATTTTTACCTCTATCTGTTGAAGATGATAAATTACAAGCTTACAGTGGAGGGAAATGAATATTCGTACACTTGAAAAATCGTATTTTAATGTACTGTATGTAAGTACACAAACTTAACAGGAAAAGTGATTTAAATTATGTATAGAGACGCATAGTATTCAAAAATACTTATACATTAAAATACGATTTTTCAAGTGTACGAATATTTATTTCCCCCCACTGTATATGCAGCTCAACTTTTGATCGTAGGAGGGAAATAAAGTCTTTCTCACGCTATTCTTTTAAATCTTTTAAACGTGTTAAAACTGGTCCGAGTAAAATTTCTAGTGATTTCATAATTCTTGACATTATTGAAATTTTGACAACATTATTGAATTATTGACAACATTATTGAAAAGTCGTAATACAGTTTCCATGAGCGCCGATTTACCTTTCTAATAAACTTCTCAACTCAAACGGCTCTCTAATTATTTCACAAAAGCCAATTATGGGACAATAATGCCTAAATCTTAAAGTAGTGTGGCAGCTGTTATATGATTGCAAATGCACATTTTCAAGGATTTGAAACAAATGCCTGAAACCAAACACTGTTTAAGAAACCGATTCAGCGGAGTAAACGTATCAATGCAAATCCTCGACTTCACGTTAACTTTGAATCTAGAAATAACAATTGAACGGCCTGTTTTTGACTCACTGCTGTTGAGGTTAGCCACGAGATCAGCCATTTGGGCAGCAGAGGATGGATAGGCGAGCGCGATGCCAGATGGGCACGAGCTTTTAGCTGTAGTAAAGTTGGTTGCATTGGTAGAGAAAAAGTAGCAGAATCCGCCCACAGCTTCAAAGCCTGGCTTGCACGCATCTGGTGGGAGATAAAGAAATGTTTAGCAAAAGTTGTTCACATTTCCACCAAAAATATCCAATGTTACCAATGCTGGGGCGTAAATTATTTTCGGAATAGAATTTCAAGCAGTGATGCATTCAAATGCCTTAATTGTAGACATTTGAGGGGAAAATCGCTTATAGTGACTGGTTTGACATATGGTGACTGGTTTGACAACACCATTATTCCACACGTCAAAACCTGTCGATGCTTCTCAATATTATATCAGAAAAGTTTACTCGCGGTTTTTTTTCTATTTTCTGATGTATTTGAAAAAAACGCGTTAATTTTCACAATTCTCTGCATTGAGGGCATGTTCAATTTTGGCGTCTTTTTTCCTGCCTAAATACTATAACGGCTCTCCTGAAAGAATACCGAAACAAAAATTAAATTACATACGGTTAAAAATACCTTTTTTCTTCATGAAAGTGATGGAGGCCGGGTCTGTGATGAGTAAGGTGGTGAGCACCGAGGCACTGCTGCTGAAGTAACACTTGGACACTGAGGCCGCCTGAGTGATGGACACCGCCAGGCACCGCGAGTCCACGAAGCACCCATTCCGGCACACGCCTGAGTCAGCAAGCACAAACAGCTGGATCATTGTGTTTTTTTCGTACAAAGAAACGAAAAACCACATCTGGACGATATTTTAGCGATGCTTCAAGTTAAACACTTACCGGCCAAACTTTTTTTTACCGCCAAACACATTTTTTATATATAACATTGCAATCTCTTTAGCAGGCGTTACTTGAGATTGTGGAGGCAAATTTCTTAAAATATTCTTTTCATGGCGTGCAAAAATACTCATTGAAATTAGGTTTATTTGCTAGCTCAACGATCAGATCGTCACGTATATATTCTGTCTATGTTTGTAAAGAAAGTAAAATAAATTCATTAAGTTATTACAAGAGTTATGGCACCAGTTTATTTCAAATAATTAATTTTAATACTTATTCATGTCATCGAAGAAAGTTCATGAACTGGAATTTCGCCCGTAGGAAAATTCTCCTCAACATGATTACGTGTTATTACCATGTTGATAATGCGTATCCAAAAATCAATTCGCGTCGGCGTCTTGCGACATTTCGCAGTAATCCACCGGGTATCAATACATCTAAAAAATATAACTCAGTACTCACTGCAGTGAGTGACAGAGAGCGCATTTTCTCGTCGACGAAAACTAGAGGCCACGGCCGGACGGACAGACGGACGGACAGACAGACAGACGGAAATGGCGAACACAATAGTGTATTTTTTCCATAAATGAGAAAATGCGCTAAAAATATATTACTAAAAGATAACAAGTTGTTAGAGATTCGAAATTTTCCCGCCTAATGAAGAGAAAGTTTCTCCAAAATATATGTTAGGGAGGAGCGATATACTTATCATTAGACTTTAGTGCTTTACATCACTATTTTACGATTCACAGACAGCTCAATTTCGTAGCTCCAGTCAGTATAATGAATGAATTATTTCTCCAGGGAATATTTACTTTATAAGTTACGGATGTAACAACCATTATCATTTTTTGCAAATTTAAAAAAGGCAGTTTTTTTGTTACTCACATGCGCTCGGTGCCTCCAAGGTAGACGTGGTGCAATCTTTCGCAATCTTTGCGTCGGTGTAGAGCGCCATTGCGCTCGCCTGAACTGCGCTAAAACTGCTCGCCAAACTGGCCAAGCAGAGCACGCCGGAGAAGAACATACCGCGTGTTCTGAACGTCGACAGCTCTCACTCGTATTAGTTCCAGATCTGCTTTGAATCGCTTGAACTAATTTTTTGGGTGATTCCTGGAATATAAAATTTTTTATTTAATTTCAATTTTTACTTTCGAATGTTTTTTTTTTAATTTCTAGCTTCAATGTCACTGAAACAACACTGGCTTCCTAAACACCTCTCAAAACGCTTTCTAAAAAAACACAATTTTCAGACTGAAAAGTGGTGCTTCTGTGTATGAATCGTTCATTTTGTATATATTAACTTACAGCTTACTGTTATATTCTAGATTCTTAGAGCTCATTTGTTAACTATATTGTGCGATTTGTACGTGTGTGCATGAGAAAACGAACGATAGAATCGATTTCAGTGCAATTAAGTAGGTAAATAATTTCGAAGGTGGCTGTCGACTAACCTCGTTATTCGAGTACGTGGTTTGGTATATTAGTTGTGCATGTTTTAGTTAGAAATAATGTTCTGAATTCGAGGTCTTAATGAGTTCATGTTCTAAGCAAAGTAATTTTGATAGTATTTTCGCCAATGTGCAAAACAAATATATAATTAATCGTTTTATAACCAATTTTAACAAGAAATTACGCAAAGGTCGCGTCTTCAAAATCTTACTGTATAACTTGCATACAAATTAAGTATTTTTTTCGGAAAAAATACTATCCAATAATTCCAATGCGTAACAACTGCTTTCTATTCCATAAGTTAACTATCTAATCGTACTTATGAATGAGTGCCGGTAATTAAGGTTTTGTATCGACCGTTATTTTGTCAAGTTTCACTCGACGGCTTTGGTCAAGTCTTCACTTCTGACTCTTGATACCAACTGACTCTTCTCGATCATCACTTCCGACTCCTGACCCAACTGACTCATCTCGACCATTGGCTCGACCTTTGGCCTGGAGTTTCTTAACCTGCTCGTATGAGTAATCGATAGGGCAGATGTAGTTTCAAGTTTATTATACTAATCAGCTGCAATCGGGCGCTTGAATATGCACGGGTTTATGAAAAATTACACATCGTTCTGGAGGCTCCAACAGAAGAGTTTAGCAATAAAACGATAGTTCACTCTAATATGGGGATGGAGGATTTCTATTGTAACGAGCATTTTCAGAGGTAATTATTCGTAATGAAAGAATGAAATCATAGATTTTTAGTTTGCCGTTCATAAGCGTTTGAATTAAATTTACTGACGATTTTCGTATAGGAGAAGCAATTTTTCATTCATTTCTTTTCTAACGAGCTCTTTAATCATTTAATGAATCAATAAAGTATTAAATAGAGAAATAATTTTTGCCTCAATTTTGGTTCTTGTGGAGAGTTATTATCAACATAAGAATAACTTTGTGTAGTTTTGCCTAGCGTGTAAAAAGCCTTTGCAGAATGCGATAATTCCAAGCGCGAGTGGAGGTTAACATCTGAATAATTACACTCGCTCGATACGCCAATAAGATACGGGATTTGTAATTAGCTACCAGCACGAAAAACTTTAAGCGAATTGTTTAACGAAAACTTTATCATTATTTCTCGAAGGTAATTTTTTTACAAATACCGTTTCAATGACAAGCTTCCCGTTATAGTCATATATAATCATTTCCGTAATGTTCTACATGGGCGAGTAATGCGCATTTCAACTTACCGTGCGCTCGTCTTTAATATATAAAAAGGTTAAGTAACAAGTTAAATTTGTAATTCAGAATAAGACAAAGAAAATAACTTTCTGGACCGACACACTTCCGGACAATGTCGTTTTAAGACAATATTAGGAAGACTCATTTTACTGCATTCACGTTCTCAAAAATGGTCGCTTTCGACTGATCCATGTTCGCTGGCTTAAGGTGGGTATGGAGACCCGCCCGAACTCCAAAGCGAGGGTGCTCGCGGTCGCTGCCGTGTCTACTATCTTACGTCTGGCCGGCGCGGTGGCACAGGAATGTCGTGCAAGCCAGTGTCGCTGCACCGCAATACACGTCACATGAACTTTGAATACTACGAGCAAATTCTTTGCTATATACAGCGCGACCTTAAAAATATATAAGCATAAATTTAATTTGTTATTGTAATTAATTAATTTAATTATTTTTATTTTCATATATTCTCATCCCCAGTATATAAATGCATTATATTCAATACCGAAATAGTGTCTATGATATTTAATGTAAATTGTATAAATTTCTACACGAAAGACAAATTATCGCTAGATTAGTAATTATTTTTTCGTGATCATGTCAATACTATGGGCACGTAAAAATAAGGTTATAGATACGCGCCGAAATTTTACTTATATTAATAAGTGAATATATTAATAGAATACAACTTGTATGTGCATAGACTAAAGAGACGCCCTAAAAGGTGTTAGGCAGCTGAGCTGTTCCCTTACACCTCTCCCCTCTACCCCCCCCCTCCGATGTGCGGGTATCCCATTTGGTAATGCGAGCCAATGCTTCAGGCCAAGTAGACTGTTTTCGAACAATTATATCCTCATCTACAGTATATAAATGCACAATATTCAATACCGAAATTATGTCGATGATATTTAATTTAAATGGCATAAATTTTTTTACGAAAGACAAATTATCGCTAGATTAGGTTCTAATTATTTTTTTGGGGCACGTTAATAGGGTAACATGGGGCAGCGAGCCCACTGCGGGTCATGGGCCCATAGCGGGTTTCTCGCTAAGTATGGCAGATATTGGTCCATGCTCTCCACCGCCGGTCGACAGTTTCACTGGGATGAAGTGTACGGATTTACGTTTTGCGTTATTACGGAACGGAAGTGTTTGCGTTATTAAGTTATTTGTGAATAACTGTTTTAGGCCAGATAATTTTTTTTTGCTGCTTAATAAAAATATTATCATTACTGTAGACGAAGCTTTTGAAATTACTGTGGATTATATTTTGAAAGTAATATTTATAGGGATAATTTTGAGATCAAGTTTAGACTATTTGCTTTTAAAATAAAATGTTGACACGATATAAATTGAAATGATACCTAGTGGGGACAACGGGCCCATGCGTGTCACGGGGCAAAGAGCCCATGGTGAAGTCTTGTGTTATACATCATTAGATTTGTCTCAATGGCCTTTTCATACTATGACTAGCTTTTTGAATTACAAATTACACTTCATATTGCATGATTTTTTTATTTGCCGCCTCAAGGCAGCAAGGCTTTGTCTCTAGTTATGCGTATTTATGACCCCTTATCGAGTTATTGACTCTTGCCTAGCCAAAAGTTGATTTCAGTCAACACCAATGAGCCAAAAGTTG